ATCTATGTGTAGCCATTCATCCACATTTGAACAGAGTGGACAGTGAAATCCTGTAAATACAGAGTGATAAGAAAGAAAGAAAAATCAAACCTGCTTTAAAACCCAGCTACACAACTGTAGCTGTACAACTTTACAACAGCAACACTGCTTTAACAAAAAAGCAAAACAGCAACTTATTTGACATCAAAACAAAATTTTTAAAATGCTGTCTAATTGCTCTCGCTGTACTTTAATGTCACACACAGAACTGTGCAGTCTGCTTCAAGTCCAACACCTATTGTGTTTTATTAGGAGACGCACAACAGTTTTTCTGTGGCTTAATAGGTAATATTTTCACTTACACAATTTAGCAAAATCAGAAAATATTGTGTCTAATATATACCACAATACTAACTTTTTATTATTGAATTGTTATAAATAAATATCACATTTGCAGCTGGTCAGTGTTCAAAAAATGCTGGGAAATCACTTCATGTAGCCCCAAGAGTGATTACTGATAAACTGTCTGAAAAAAAGAAAGTCAAATTTTAGAGAAGAACAGAAATCACCCACTGACTTTCAGAGCTGCTACATAGTAATGACTTTCTACTTCGAGGACCTTGATAGAAATGTAGTGGAGTGAAAAGTACAATATTTATCTTTCAAATGTAGTGAAGTTAAAGTCATGAGTTCCCAGAAAAAATAATACTCAAGTAAAGTACCGATACTCAAAAAGTGTACTTAAGTACAATACTCAAGTAAATGTACTTAGTTACTGTCCGCCTCTGATCATAACTCTACATCCTCATAAAAACCTGTTGGTATCAATAGACTTAAAACTTTTTGATCTAAAGCTGCTATTCAAATTGTAAGTTCTCAACATGGTGAGACTTCTGTTCCTGTATAAATCTGAATATAATGACTGCAGACTAATCCATAAAAGAAAATATTTTTAGAATGATATATTAATGTTATTATTAATTATTTAATTTATTACCGAAATTATTTAAATTATTTTATTTCTGAATTTTTTTACACTACCATTCAAAAGTTTCGGGTCAGTGAGTTTTTATTGTATTTTATTCAGCAGAGATGCAATAAATTGATCAAATGCGGAATATATCGGAAATGTATAATGTTACAAAAGCTATTATTTAAAATAAATTGTTCCTTTTCTATTCATCGAAGGAATCCTGAAAAAATGTACAGTATCACAGTTTTCACAAAAATAATAAGCAGTACAGCTGATTTCAACACTGATAATAACAAGAAATGTTTCTTGAGCGGCAAATCAGCATATTAGAATGATTTCTGAAGGATCATGTGACACTGAAGACTGGAGTAATGATGCTGAAAATTCAGCTTTACCATCACAGGAATAATTTACATTTTAAAATATATTAAAATAAAATAAAAACTTATTTTAAACTAATATTATTTCACAACATTTTTGTTTTAACTGTATTTTTGATCAAATAAATGCAGCCTTGGTGACTTTAAGAGAATTCTTTCAAAAACATTTCACTGACCCCAAAACTTTTGATCCGTAGTATATCTAACTTCAGGTCGCAATGTTTTTCCCAAACTGTAGCTAAGCAAACACACTCGTTTATTAGTTATCTAAAAGAGAACATACTAGAGTTCTGTTTTTTGGTATAACGTTAATAGTAAGGACCACAAACTAACCCTAAACCCTACAAGAAATCTTTTTACATTCTTTGGATTCTTTCAAAATAAATGTTTTAAATTTATGAATAGTTTTTTCCAAATGGGAATGTCCCCGAAAGGACGCTGTCACGTTTAACCAACTTCTGGAGACAGTTTTGTAAACACACTCACTCACACATACACACAGAACGACAGTGGTGCTTGAGGCCAGATGATTACGTCCTTTTAAAGAAATGCTCTTCATATCCAGCACAGGCCTGCATTAATATAATTGATTATTCAGGGTCTGTCGAAGCCATTTCCATCATCATCTTTCGATGGGGTGAGAGGGGAAAATCATTAATTCAGCATTAGCAAAGGGGCAGGGATAGATGTCCACAACACTACATTTCACAACAGAGCACAGGCTGCTGGCACCACGACCCCCTCCGTAAAGAAGAGAGGAGGTCCCCTTCTGACACTACATTTCCATGCCCATTAACAATTGATCCAGTCCAGCCTTACTCTGAACCTGTATTTGGCATGCAGATGTGATTCAGATTCTCCAGCAGACAATTTCTCAAGGCTTGGCCAAACGTCTTAGTGTGAGAGTGTTTTCCTAAAAGCAGAAGTTATTTTATTAATGTTGACTGGGGCCTCTGCTCCCTGAGAACAGGACAAGGGCTCTACATGCAGTGAGTGACAGTGTGGTAATGGTTCACTCAGGCCACATGCATGATTGAGCAACCTGCAGGGAAACCTGTCCCAGCAGTATCTGTGAAAAGGTGGTTTCTAAAACAAGGGTGACGAAAAGTTCATTCCGATTTTTGCAAGACAAAGTTTATTGTCTAGAACCAACTGATGTCTCTGTGGACATTTCTGCTAAAGGGTAAAAAGTTCAGACAAACTATCAATATTCATGGAGGCCTTTCTTTCTTTCTTTCTTTCTTTCTTTCTTTCTTTCTAGGGGAGGCAGAGGACCCTAGAAAGAAGGCTGTCGTGAAACATCCATGATAAAGGTAAAGCTTATGTCATAATGCATTCATATGTCTTAGGAAATTATTAGCGCACATGACGCGTCATGAAAAAGCATGCAGTTTTAAATGAATGTGGATGCCGAATGAATGAAAATGAGTGGCTTTGATGCACTGTTTGTTCGAGCAGTATCCACAGATCCAATGGGAATTTTATGTTCTTTGTCTGACTGAGATGAATAGCATTCAGCCTGTCACTATGTCTGTTCTCCAGTAAACCAGTGACGTACTGATGGCATTTACAAAACAGCAAACATCCATCAGAAACAAATGATGGATAAGGAGGACAAAATAAGCTCTCTACAACACAAATAGAAATCACGTACAATGCATGAAAACTGCTTTCCCTAGTGTGCTTTCTGGTTCTTGAAGACCAGCTTACGTTAACTGAAATAACCCTGTTTTAAGCACTGCATGTATTATTGAAAGACTCTGGAGCACCATGAAAACTCTTTGCTTTTTACTTTTTAACTTCAATCACAACAGGTCAGGCACTGAAATGCAATGAAACAGTGAATGTTTAATTTCATTAAAGGTTTATAAATGCAATGCCAAGTCTGAGTATGTCAGTATCCGGACATCATCTTTGGATATAAAATTAAACTAGAAAGTCTGTGTGTACTAATAAAAAGCTGTTAAATATACATTTAATGTCAAAAGCACATTAATTTGTCGTACATTAACCGCAAAATGTGTACAGACTTTCAAAAAACAAACACAAATACATGTCTTACATTGAATGGTTGAAACATTAAAAAAAAAATACAGTTACAGCGCATCTGTTTAATAAATGGTTTTCAAGTTAGAAAACAATTTTCATCGTGTAGCCAGGATTTCTTGAGTCCATAAGAGTCCACTGTGGCTTAAGTGTAATCCAATCACAGATTAATGATAAAAGCTGTAAATATTGCACTACAATGACCTCAGACTTGCTATCACTGAGGACACCCTAGGAGGAAAACACACAATCAGATACAGAAGAACAGATCAAGTTATATTTCTGATAATTAGCCCTGCTGGGCATGAGAAGCATGGGTCTGCTGTGTCACAGTTTCATAGTATCATCAGTTATCTTAGCTGAGAGAACAAAATAACATTTAACAAACACAGTGTTGGCTCTACTAGGGAATTTCAGTCTGGGCTCCTGGGACCCCCATAGGCTGCGAGCGAGTGCTAGTGGGCCACGGAAATTAGACAGAATTTTTTTTCTGAAGTATGAAGTTTTTTTCTTGTAACTTTTATGCTTGCCAAGTCTGCATTTATTTGATCAAAAATACAGTATAAACTGTATTGCGAAATAGTTTTACAATAGTTTTCTATTTGATATTTTTAAACCAATATTTTGTACTCAAGTCTTCAATGTCTCATGATCCTACTATTATCAATGTTGACAACAGTTGGGCTGCATAGTTTTTTATTTTTCAGGATTCTTTTATGAACAGAAAGTTCAAAATAACAGTATTTATTTGAAATAAAATATTTTTGTAACACTATAATTGTCTTTACTGTCACTTTTGATCAATTGAATGCATCATTGCTAAACAAAAGTATTAATTTATAAAAAAAAAAAACTTTTACTGACCTTAAATTTTTGAATGGTAAGCACTACTAAAGTTAACATGTTAACTTAAGATGTTAAAGAAATATTTTTATTCGGAAATCACTATACACATAAATTTGAAAATGTCTCTCAGGTTTATACATCTAACAGTACTAGTAGAGTAGTTAAAAAAGATTCAGTGTGATCCTAATATAAAGTAAATATTTTCAGATATTCTTGCTGTTAACAGTGACAATATAAAAGCCAGTTATTTAATTTTGGAAACAATATAATATCACACTTATTTTTTTTCTTTTTTACACAGTATAAATTGGTTTTAATATATGAAAATATAGAGCTGCTAAATATATTTTAGTATGAGTGTCACTCTCAAAGGGATTGTCATGTTATCCATGGCATCCATCCATTAAAAGGGCCTTAGCAGGACCCCTTATCACCGGGCCCAGTACAATTTTCCTGGTTGTCCCCAACTCTGGCACCCTGGTACTAGGATCTGCCTTTGTGTCTCTGCAGTATTAATTTTAAAAAAAATTTGCAAAAAAATGTATGTTCTGATATAATGTTATATTATTAAAGTAGGTCAAAGTCTGAATAACAACATCATTATGAGAGGCAGAGCATCACTTTCTTTTAAATGACTTTGTATATTGAACTCTGATACAATAACAATGATGACAGCCATTCTAATCAGCACATTAAAGATCACTCCAAGATATATATACACACACAACACTGTGAGCTGCATAGTACCAATAAATCAAGTTCTTGCTGGCTTTGGCTTTTCTTGAAGAAAAAAAAAAACAGGTTCAGTGTCAGATAAATTTTATGGTGTGAGATGAATATCTCAAACACTTCCGAATGAAATGCTACATAAAATGGAAGACAATATAAGAAGCGATTAATCTTGTCATGCACTCACTATTCCTTGCTTGCAAAATATTGCACAGAAACATTACAAAAATAGGGGGCGGGGGGGGGGGACACTTTCAATCTACTTAATATTTAGGAATGAATAATAAACAAATACAATAATACTGATGAGTTTAAAGACCGCGGCCGCTCAGTATGGGGCAAACTTCTGCCGTTCTGATTTTTTGATGCTGGATGAGGTGGGGATCTTCGTGGTGTAGGGTGTGAGGCCAGCCGGGAGGCCTGCGGAGGTGGCTGTGTGCATTGCCAGCAGGGGCACGGTTTTCATGCCAAGCAGGCTGGAAACAGGCAATGCGTAGTGGGCGCTGGGGATGGACGAGGGGGAGTGGACGTTAATAGCAGAGGGGGGAGCAGCCAGGACGGCCATGGAAGAGGAGGTGGAGGGGGTGGACTGGGAGAAGCCCAGGCTGAGGTCGATAGGTGTGCTGGAAGAGGAGGACAACGCTGCCTGGATGCTCAGTTTAGCCATCTCTAAACTGCAAACAGATGCACGCAAACCAGGAGGGGCGTGAGGACAAGTGTGGGGTTAATAGAGCGGTTACAGATGCACACAAGAGGAGAGAGAGTGACATGGGAGGGGGTGAGAGAAATAGAGAAAAGAATAATCAATTTAGGGAATGTTATGTGTTACAAGAAGGAATAATAATAAGGGTTTAACATGCCTGGATGAGAATTAATAAAGGAGTGCCAAATGGGTGAGATGAAACAGACCATATGACTGCTGTCTAATTCCTATGTATTACACCATTACGTAAAACAGATTGTGGGAAAGGAATAGTTCATCCAAATGTTTGTTCGCTCTCATGACTTTCTTTTTTCTGTGTAAGAAGAAATATTTTTAGAATGCTCTTAACCAACTTGCACAATATTCCAAAATAGAAATAGATCAAATATAACTCTTAAATCAAATATAGGTTTGATATATATTCAATCATTAATCTTATATTAATGCTTTGGTCATGTAGAACGCCAGAAATAATGATGTCTAACTGATGTAATGCATTGAAAGCCACTGTATTTGTTTTGAAAACTAAAATGGGAAAGAATTAAATGTAAATATGTTTTACATTTTAGTCTATTATTAGCAAAGAGCTGTCATATGGCTAGAAAAGACTTTGGGGTCGCTAAGATTTAAAAAAATAAAAATACTGTAAAAACAGTAATTTTGTGAAATATTATTTCAGTTTTCAATATATATATATATATATATATATTTACTGTACAATACTGTAGTGCAAATGGGCTAGTTTTATGCTGCTTTTATAATTTGTCTTTTTTTGGAGTTTGACACATATGATCACTATGAACTGTATGGAACTGAATGGAAAAGCGCTGCATGAACATTCTTCAAAAATTCTCCCTTTAACTTCCTCAGAAGAAAAACTTCATTCGGGTTAGGAATAACATGAGGGTGAGTAAATGATGACAGAATTTCATTTTTGGCTGAACTATGCTTTAAAATGTGAGAGGGAAAGGTCTTACCTCGCACTGATGAGGTACTGAGCCACGCTGATGTTGGCTGGGGAGCCTGTGATGGTGACGTGGCGCACTGCTGAACCGTCTGTGGCCCCAGCAATTTTGATCTGAGCACCAGACATCTGGCGAATCTCATTGATCTTACTGCCCTGTCTGCCAATAATGCAGCCTATGAGCTGAGAGACAGACGGGTGAGGGGCAAACAACATCTGGACATTAAAAGTCTAAGGAGACTGAGAGTGAACCTCTAGGACATGGAAGTTGTTCTTCTCTACTGTATGGCATGCCTTGGATCCTACTAAATAGATTCTACAAATGGATAACAGATTACTTTAATCCATGATCAGAGTAATAATGTGTCATGTAATGATGAATAACAGATTACTTTAATCCATGATCAGAGTAATAATGTGTCAGTGTAATGATAGCAAATCGTAAAAAGATACACCTAAATGAATGTCATTGGAATAAATACTAAATATCAAGCTAATTGGCATGTATTTCAAAGTAAGATAAGGCAAGCAAAAACATGGTTTCAAATTGAATATTCTAGTACAAAAAAATTTAAATATTGGTTTAAAAACATTGTATGAAATTGAAATAAAATGAATCTAAAATATTTGGAAAAACAAACTGAAATAAAAATGAATGAATACCTAATTGTTTGGTGTTGGATGGTCTTTGGAAGGATTCACATCTCAGACCATTTTTATGTTACTATGACTACACAAGCAAGTAAACATTTTTGTCTGATGCACCTTTGGTTCTTTGTAAATAAAATGCTGTCTCAGTGCCTCAAACTAAGAGTCAGTGTGCATCTTGTTTTCTGTCGGCTATGCATGAGCAAGGATTCTTACATTCAGCAAGGATGCATTAAATTAACAAAAGTGACAGTATATACAGTACTTATACTGTACATTGTTTAAAAAATATATATTTCAAATAAATGCAATTCTTTTGAACTTTCTATTCATCAAGGAATCCTAAAAAAAAAAAAGTTTTCCACAAAAATATTAAACATCACAACTGATTTCAACACTGATAATAATAAGAAACTAAACACTAAAGCACAAAGACACTAAAGACTGGAGCAATGATGCTGAAAATTCTGCTTCACATTACAGTAATAAATTACATTTGAAAACATATTACAAACAGTTATTTTAAATTGTAATAATATTTCACAATATTACTGTTTTGTTGTACTTCTATATCAGATAAATGCTGCCTTGGTTGAACATAAGAGACTTAAAAAAATATTAAAAATATGTTTTCAATACCATACTTTTAAACAATAGTGTGCATTTGAAAATATGTCTTAGAAAATGTTATGCTAGCATAATTGGTCTTTCTAACTTATTAATAATTTTCACTTGATCTAATGTAATGACATTGTTCATACAGTTTAAATGTGACCTTAATTGTCCAAATACTTTTGGGGCACGGCAAAAACAGCATCTAATTTAACATGAACTGCAACAAACATTTTGCCTCAAGTTAATTGTATTATTTTATGTTAAATGTGTAGGACATATAATATAACTTACATCATTAGGTATGCTCAGCTCATGAGAAGTGGTCACAAACGAGGCCTCCAGACCTATGCAGGGAAATGGGAAGTTAAGCACAACTCAACAGCTGAAAAAAAAACTTTTTAACATTGCTACACTGCCGCTGGGACTGCTCAAATAAAATCGAAAAATATCACATTAAAATTACACAATGTATGAAAGCATTAAGGCTGCTAGAGCGGGTGAGTCATGAATGAATTCCTGTTTAATTCACGGCTGCCTGAGATTCAAAAACACCCATAAAAGCATTTCCAAATAGCACACATTATCGGAAACGTCTGTGGAGAGGCTGTCTCTCTTCAACTCCCTATTTCCATGGTAATAATTATGGGCTGGCACTTGCAATGTGTGGAATCTGTTTGTCATGATAAATGTGGGCTGCTGTGAGAGTGGGCTTCAGGTTTGCTTAGGAAAATGCTGCCGGTTTGAACAGGTCAGGGGTTTTGTGGAGGATATGAGGGGAGAAGAATGTTAAACGAATGAAAGCCTTTGTGACGACTTCACATACAAGGAGAGAAAGGGGTCACACATATGCATCACATAGGCGTCATGATGCTGTTGTTATGGTGACATGACACATTTGGAGATTTCTATGACAGCTCAAAGGAGCCGTCAGCGGCTGGCATCCGAACGCAGACTATCTAGAGCTATCAGGACTGGTTAGTGGTCGTATCATGGCACGGCATGTGCAGCATTATGTTGGCAGTGTTATGATATTTATTACCTTACCACAAAAATGGCTTCGCCCTCTTCAGAGTGGAAAAGTAGAACATGCGGTGGTGAACGCATGAGACAGAGGTGGTCAGACACGACAGATGAAAGTGTGGAGAGGGAAAGAGACAGATAGAGAGAAAGACAGGCAGAGAGACAGACAAAGGGAGAGACAGACTTCCCTGGGGAGCTCTGGGTACGTACCAGGGAAGGTGGGGTTGCTCTGCCCAAGGGAGGTAAAGGGGATATGCTGCATAGCCAACTGGTGAAGCTTGGTCAACTGCGGGGGCAGGAAGGGAGGTTAGAACTAGCCAATCAAAATGGAATTATTTCAGAGGACACTCACATCTACAGACAGAACAGCACCCATATCAAGTCTCAAAATTAGATTAGTTATCAGGTCCCCCTTTGGACTTACCATCCACTTCTCCCAAATAAGGTGATCGAAAAACTTTGCATTTCCTTAAGGGAATTTAATTGCTTGAGAGGCAGGAAAAGAATCATGTTCAGGTTTGAGGTGTGTTTGTATGTGAAATGAATCAGTTGTCATGACACACGTCTGGTTTTCTGCCAACTGTGTGAAAATGAACAGACTATGTGACACCGTCTTTGCAATGCAGGGAAGTGTTACATGTGTTACATGCAAGACCAATCACAATTCATACAGTAACAAAGAAGACCAATCACAACAGTATCGGTACAGTATGCAAATACTATGATTATACATCATCACATTTGGTTGTAATTTTAATACTGAACATCTATCATTTATATATTTTATACCTGAATTTACTGTATATATTGCACTGACTTTAAATCTCACAAGTAAAACTTTATTGGTGGTTTATATCTCACAGTAACTTTATATCTCACAACTGCAACTTTGTTTTTTCATAACTACGACTTCACTTGTACATTGACTTTAAATCTCGCAATTGCAACTGTTTTTCATACCTGTGTTCCTGTGGTTCACAATCGTGACTTTGTTTTTCATACCTGCAGCTTTACAGTATATCGCACATCAACTTTAAATCTTGCAACTGCAATTTTACTGTATATGTCAAATTGTGACTATATCTTGCAATGAGACTTAATATCTCACAATTGCAACTTGTTTTTCATACCTGTTTATCTCGCATTGACTTGCAATCTCAATTTTATATATGTATGTATATGTGTGTGTGTGTGTGTGTATATATATATGGCACATTTTATCTACTTAAACACTATCTCACAATTACTTGGATTTTTTACTTAACTGTATATAATTTATTTAATTGAATAATTTCTGCATTTAGCAGACGCTTTTATCCAAAGCGACTTACAGTGCATTCAGGCTATACATTTTTTACCAGTATGCGTGTTCCCTGGGAATTGAACCCACAACCTTTTGCACTGCTAATGCAATGCTCTACCACTGAGCCACAGGAACACTATATCTATCTAAATCTTGCAATTGCAACTTTACTTTGTATGTCACAATGTGACTATATCTCACAATTTGGCTATATATCACAATCGTGACTTTGTTTTTCATACCTGCAGCTTTACAGTATATCGCACATCAACTTTAAATCTTGCAACTGCAATTTTACTGTATATGTCAAACTGTGACTATATTTAGCAATGAGACTTAATATCTCACAATTGCAACTTGTTTATCTCGCATTGACTTGCAATCTCCATTTTATATATGTATGTATATATGTGTGTGTGTGTGTGTGTGTGTGTGTGTGTGT